TACTTGCTATACTTGTAAAAATCTGGAGGATATTATCTTGGATGTCATAACCAGAACTTTTGAAGCTCTTTAAAATGTGTAATAATGTTGACTGTATTGTTAAAAAGAGTCTAGATACATAATATCTTATATAAATTTGAAAATTGGATGGTTCTTCCATTCACTAAAAGGTCACAATGCACCAAGACTCCTCTGCCATTTAAAGTGTGCTTGGCCTTTTAAAATATATGAAACTAACCAGGGAGAAAACTGTGAATTAAGCCATTATACACCCACTGTCTAACACTGCTAATAGTGCTGTCTTCTTTTTGGAAATGTCTCACAAAGATTAATCAACTGACTCCAGGCTCAGCGCCATCTTTTCTTCTATTGTCAGCTCTCCCACTCCTGTTACTCACTGGCCCCACCCACTTCCTGTTCTCCGGTGGGAATCCCGGGTGACGACAGGAGCTGATGCTGCAGTGAAACAGAGGAGCTGTGATTTTAGAGACTCTGACGTGGTCCGTGTTTGGAGAAGGCTCTGACGCATGTTCAGTCTCACTCAAGAATAAGACTAATTTGGAAAGCCTGTTTTTCTTTGAAATAGTAGGCGATATCTTTAAATCTTGCATTTTGATAAGTTATACAGATGGAAAGGTAGTGCAGTAAAGAAAAATCATCGTTAATGCTCCACCATGTAACTTTTCAGCCATAAAAATAGACAGAAAGGTGCACAGCGCAACATCTGCGGTAGTGGGTCCACGACCTGCTTGTCTCCATGGAGATGTGTATAACTTTGCTTGGAATGTTCCATGATATGACTTTAAACATTTCCATCTAGTGTTTATTATGGGTGTTTCTAATGCTCAGAAATATAATAATTCCTTCTCTTTGAATAGGATAGACACTTCACAGGTCTGAATGTTAATGTGGTTTAGTAACCTGCTTGTCTCCCTTGCGATTGATAATTTCATCTATACTGTGGAAGATTCTAGACAAAGCAACATTTGCATTAGGTGGCTGACCCTCCACTAGAAATGTTACGCAGTGTGCACCTTTAAATAGAAACATGTTTGCATGTTTATCATTTTGGATGTTTTTATAGCACAGAGAAAAGCATGTGTTCTTACTGTAAGTGGGCTTGCATCTCCACAGACCTGACCTGTCAAAATAGTTTTTTGAATAATCCTGATTAAAGGTCACAATATAATCATAAAAACTAATAAAGAATAATCTGGGATTTCAGTTTAATCTATAGTCCACAAAAAACTGAAAGTATAACGCTTTTTATTTGGCTGTTTGTTACTTTAACTTTATCGTTCAGATTTTTTTTCATTAAAGGTGCATTTTGTAACCTTTCTGGTGGTCTGTCAAATGCTCTTCTCCATGGAGATGTCATTGCTTTGTTTTTCACAGTAAGTCTTTTCATCATCATAGAGACCAAACCAGACCAAGTTACAGGTCAGATCGGTGATTAGGCAACTCTGTCAGTCAGAATACCAGTTTTTGTAGATATTTTTAAGCTAAATAAAAACACCTGTAATTTAACGCACGTAAGGTATAGCTCTCTAATGTCATACTATGAAATATTCCTGGCAGAGTGATGGCATTTCCCTAGAAACAAGAAGGTGATGGACCCTCAACCAAAAAATTACATAATGCACCTGTGGTCATAAATAAGAGGAATGGCAATCTAATATTAGATAGTATAAATAAAGGTTTCCACTATTGTGTAGTCATTTTGTGAAATATTGTTGTTTCTTTTTGGTATGGTAACATAGGTATTTTTCTCTCTTTAGCTGCACTGCTGTACTGCTCTACTGTTTCTGTATATCAAAACATTGTAGTTTACAGTATAGAAAACTCATATCCCTGCCTATTGGACAACATAATCCATTGCTGCAGGTACAGTATGTCAAATCAAATTCCCATCTAATGCCCATGAATAATGTAACAGCACTATTTTGCCTCCTGCTGGCAACTCTGCATATCACAACCTCTGTGTATTTGAATATTATGCAGATGTTACAGCAATGTCTACAGGTAACTCAAGGTAATGTCAGTATTAGGTGGAAGATTATCTGTGTTTGTTTAGCATTGTTTGTTTGTTCATGGAGAGAGCACAAACATGTGTAGAGGAGGAGGGAGGGGGCTGCTGTCTGTTGGAGTGATGTTGTTGACTAAAGGGGACCTGCTCATTAAAGACTTTCCCTTCACAAATACAGTCAGTGAGCCGTGAAATCTGGGCTCATGTTGAAGTCATTGGGAACAAATGCATTGGAAGAGCATTATGCAGACGTGTGTTTTGAGTCTCTTATTATTAAAAGCAAGATTTGGATTCTGTTGTTCTGGTTCTGTCTGAATAACTGAGGCTCAAATCACATTAAAAGTCCTATGTTATGCATGTGAGCTTTGAGCCATGTCATATTGTTTGTTTGAGCCTTTATTTTGGTCCGTCTACATCTCCAAGCTTGTGAGGTCAGGTAGTGGTAGTTTTCAAGAGTTTTCAACAGCTATATTTACCTTTAGTTCAGTAAAACATAGATCAGAAGATTGTGTAATTTGGGTCCTTTTAATATAACGTTTTATTAAGGAAAATGTGCGGGTTAGTTAAAAGTTAATACAGTCAAGAACATACCACATACCACTTACTACAGTAGTAGTAGTCTATTCTCTAGTTGTTTTTCATTTGCGTTGCATTCACAGGTTGACGGTTGAATTCTTGGCTGTGGTGAGAGTTGGTGGGTGATGAGTGAAAAGACCAGATAGTCAAGTCTCATACCAGCCCCTCCCCTCTTCCCCCTCTCCCTCTCCCTCTCTCTCTTTCCCTCTTTCTCTCTCTCTCCCCTCATGTGTTCCTGTCTTGGCTCTTTACTGTACGGGAGCCCTCATGAGAACAGGTGGCTTCCTTTCTTTTCCTGGTGGGATGTGGAAGAGAAAACTCACCATCAGCAGGACTAGAGCCTTGCGTAGGAACAGCCTGGCTCCGTAAGTCCACTTTGTTAGACCAATACTGGACTGTACAGCTTTAGTTCTTTACTGTAGCTATAGCGTCTTGTGTAAACACTAGGCTATGAGTGCTTATAGCTTTTTAAACATACCTGATTATTTACTGCTGATTTGGGGTTATCGGCATAGTTAAAAGTCTGTAACTGTATGGCATTATGACATTACTTCAGCTGTCCTATTGAGCAATGTTTGACAGGAAAGTTAAGATTTTGTTTTGCAGTTTCACCTTGATTGATTGATTGAAACCTGTTCCTACTCAGCAGTTTTATCAGTTGGATCAAAGTTGTGTTCTTTTAAAATATGCACATGTAAAGTAGTATAAACTTGTCTCAAAGCAATGTCATAGATTTTGGGGTGATAATATTGTTAAGTTGATGTATGGTGTTTTTAGGGCATTTGTCATGTTAACACTGGCTCGTACTTCATTTGCATACAGAACTGATTGTGGGAAATTTGTGTACTGTGAGTCTATGCCACAGACGTTTGTGGTTGGCAAAAATGCTGACTGTGTGTTTTTGACCTGTTAATTTAAATATTGAATGGGGTTTATATAACAAAAGAATTTGTTTATTTTTAATGCAAGAGTGCAAGTTCTTGCAAAGCAGGATTAAGCAATTTACAATTTCTTAAATTAGAGCATAAGATAAGAATGAGAATGTAAAGAGCTCCCCTTGTTAGAAAGACCAGCCCTAGTATCTTCTTACAAACTATGTATACTATTGTATTTTGTGGTTTAGTGAGGTGTTCTAATTCTAGCCATGTCACCTAATTTACATTACATACAAGTTGGATTATTATTGTTTAGTTACGTGTATGTCCTATAGTCAGACACACATATATAAGTCCAGGATAGGTTGTAAACCCAGTGTATGCAAACAAAGCATCTACTTCCTCTTTACATTGTGGCTTATCACCTGGCTAAGAGGTTTACCTGAAGATTACCCTGGAGTCTTAAGGAGCTGCATTTCATTCATTCATGTCACTGAGATACTGAGAGTAAGACTGTAGCAGGTTCAGGCTGTAAACTTTGTAAAATCTGTGGTATGTGAAGAGCGCAGGGGTGGAAGTGTCACTTTAGTTTGTTTAGGTTCAAAGTATTGTCACATATGACGATTGTTTTGAAGCTCATATACTTTAACAGCTTGCCATAAAACAGCTCTGTGTAATTGTAACTTTCATCTGTTTTTCCAATAATCCTTTATATACCCTTATAAACAGGCCAGTTGTAATATCCACATTGATTTTTTAGTCTTTTCGATCTCTGTTGCTCAAGGCATCAGTGTCCTTTTACATTGCATTTACAGCCTTTTCAGTAGATCCCAGCCTGGAGGTCTAGCAGTGAGTCAGTCAATATAATATGTTTTATGTAACAAAGCATGGCCTGCAGTGAATAAACTCCTGGACAATGGAGAAGATCTGGAGGCAATTAAAATACCATAATCTGTCCTGTGTTGTGTAATGGCATTTACAGTTTAACTCGCATGATAAGTAGCATTTGGTATATAATAGAAAAAAAGAAAACACAGATTTTTGTCGCACAATAATCACTATATTACCTTCAATAAAGCATGAAGAAATATTAAATTCATACTGAACAATTATATGTATTAATTGTTTATTAAGAGTGATTCATTATGAATGAAAGGCTTGTTATAAATATGTGATATTAACGCTGATTAAGGTGTAACGCTGATAAAGAATAACCCTTATTTTAATTTCATTCAGTTGGTTCATGCATCTTGCTTCTAATAATGGCATGTGATGACATATGCTAGTCACTGGCAGTCAAAACATGTTGTATGAGTGCACTAACCACTGTACAATTGTACATCCCTTTAAATCCATGTTTCAAATTCTCAGAAAACCTGAAACTTGTTTTACAATTTTACTGTAATAGTAAAAGAAAGGTAATCACGTGACAGGTTGTTCCTATTCCCATTCCCCGAGCCACGTGTTGTTTAGAAGAAGTTATGTCCTCAATTGACTGTGGAATTTTTTTCTGTGTTTTCCAGGGCAGAAAAAACAGAAGTACTGAGTGAAGATCTACTACAGGTAAGATCATAAGGAATTAATGTGACTTGTATTTCTCATGTAAAATGTCCCATTATGTGGCCATTGCTCACATCCATATTTATGTCCAATATAATAATCTGGGTTGCAGTGCTTTAAATTAGTTCCCAGATACACAGTGTATTAATAAAACTAATGTACACTTCTGAAAACAAGTGTCGGTATGGCTTAAGTAATCTAAAATAGAGTAAAATAGATCATTACAGTTACACAAAAATGTAATATTTCGGCAAGCCAGTTAAGAAATTTAAATATTGGTTAGAAAGAAAAATCTTGTAAGTACAGCAGTTGCAGAGGGTGTCATGTAGTTTTGTTCCCAGTAGCCCACAGCTGTTAAGTTTTTATCTGCTCGACTGTTTCTCCCCCGTGGCTTCATTGCCTGTGTTAGCCTGTTCTCAGTTCATTTGCAAATATGACATAATCCACACCTAAGAAATCACAGGTACTTTGATAGTAGTTGCTTTTAAATTTAGGAATACCACATAAAGAGGAATGGAGCAATTCTTATATTGGTTTATTTAATTTGAATTAGAGAAGCCAATAACACTGAACATGATAAATTATTCTGGCAGGAACATTATCCCACTTATCCAACCACAGAGCAAAATATGCACAACGATTTCCTCATTTTCAGTTTAAAGGTGCACTATGTAGCTTTCCTGGAGTGTCCACCACCTACTTGTCTCCATGAATATGTTATTGTTTTGCCTAACATATTCATTTCACTTACCTATCTGCTTGGTGACAAGGTGAAGCCAACAAGCCAAATTATGGGTCAGACTTTTTCAGAAGCGACCCCACTTAGAAATTAGATGTTTTTCAATGTATTTTTGGTATAGCAAAAAAAAAAAAAAAAATGTAACTGAATTAATGCAGGATATAATACATTTAATGCCATACTTTTAAACATTTCAGGCAAAGTAATAACATAGCCAATAACACCAGAAAAGTAACATAGTGCATCTTTAACATAAATAAAGCTGTCCTAACCTTATCCTGTAATCCACTGTAGTATAATGTATTGTAATGTGTATTGAGAGTGGTGTTTATTGCCCCCTGTGGCTCAGGTGGAGAAGCGTCTGGAGCTGGTGAAGCAGGTCTCCCACAGCACTCACAAGAAGCTGACGGCGTGTCTGCAGGGACAGCAGGGCGTGGATGTGGAGAAGAAGTCTGTCAGATCTCCATCGGTGAGGAGCAAAGCAGGGACAATGGGATTACGCATGACAATAGATAAGACATAAGAACGATAAGAGGAGTTTAGTGTCTCACTTAGGGCGCATTCACACATAAACCACATTAAAATTATTATTATTTTCAAGTTATAGAATTTTATTATGTTCTGTATGCATCTCTATTAGCAGAACGTTCAGCGGTTACCATGAGTGACACAATGTACACACAGCCGAAAATGAAAACTCAAGAAAAAATACAAAATGGATTTAAACAACACATTTTCACAAGTGTTCATGGTAGGGATGTAACAATAACCAAAACAATAACCAAAATATTGTGATCGTAAAACTCTCACACTAATATCGTGGACTGTCACAATGTGTCGAATTACAAGTTCCTTTGCTTAAATGCATTGTTTTATAGTAGCAATAGCTTATGAACATCGGAAATTACATACATACCTTTCCGCACAGACAACATGAAGAGATATGTTTTTTACTTGAATTCTTGGGATTGTGATGGAAATAATTCATACTAAAACCTTGTCAAGGTATTTTAAATGCAAAAAACTGTCCCATCTACAATTATATTAGTCTCTTCAAAATATCACAATGAATATCGTACTGTGAGCTGTATATTGTGATAATATCGTAACGTGAGATTTGGATATTGTTACATCCCTAGTTCATGGTCCTATTTAGGTGTTTGATTTTCAACAAAAACTGTTGGCTAGCTTTTTGTGACAGTAATTTTATGTTAGAGAGACTTGTTTAAGCCCACAAATCATTTCACATGTTGTAGTCCCAACCAAGTCAGTTCTTTCTGATCAGACTGCTAAAAAGCAAAGCTCAGTTTAAAGTCTAATTTGTGTAACACAGCTTTTAACAGAGTAGTGCTTTCAGTTAGCATCACACCCCAGGGTTTGTCAATGACATCTGCTGCAAAGCATCATTCAAATTCTTTGAGATAATCAATGTGTTTTGGAAGAAATGTGTAAACAGAAAATCCACAATCCTGAATCCGGCACTTTCAGCTGCTGCTTTGAGACTCAGTATTGAAAAAGGAACACGTTTTTATGCGTTAAAGAACATGATTTCAAACCGTTAATTAATTGGAAAACTGGTTTGGGAGCAACAAATAATATTAATGAATCATATTTTACTATTATGCACTGAATTGAGAGTAACAATGATTGTGTTTACATCCACACAAAAATCTTATCATTATCTGATTTCTGGAGTAATCCGAGTATTGAAATGTGAACAAAAATGTGAACAGAACTTTTGGTTTTGACTGGGAAGATTATGCAAAAAAGGACGAACAGATGTGGCAAAGACAATAATGAAAGAGAAAATGTTAAAAGATTGAAAGAGTCATTTTAAAAGTCATTGTACTTTGTCTTCCAAATACAATGAAGACAAATTACAATTAATGTTGTTACTTCCTCAAAAAACAAACCTAGATTGTGTTTTGTTTCATTCACATATGTTTGAGTAATCCTTTATTATTAGTTTCTCTACATCTCCAAAGCTCAAAATGCTCTGTTTCACCTTGTGATGTCATGAAGCAGTAGTTAAGTTAAGTTAACAACTACCTTTTACCTTTAGTTCAATAGAGATGGGAAATTCCGGGGCTGAAATGATCCAAATTGTTCTAGTCAAGGTGTTTAAAAACACAGTGGAGCATTTCCTGTATTACCACATGACATCACAAGGTGGAACAGAGTGTTTTCTGTTTGGGAGAAGGACTCAGCCTAAATATGCAGGGATTGTGTGTTAAACTTAAATGAAACAAACACAACTGATGAGGAAACAATATTATAGTATAACATAGATCAGAAAATAGCATAATATTTTTGATTGTCAGATTTCTTTAGATCTGTCTCACTATTCTAATTATTCAGATTTGACCTGTCCATATAAATGTAACTGTTGTCATGTATTTATCTCCTCAGAAAAAGCTCCCCCTGACTACGCTAGCACAATGTATGGTGGAGGGGTCTGCTGTGCTGGGGGACGACTCGCTCCTGGGGTGAGTGCGTTCAAACATAAACACTGAAGTTTTTCATATAAATAATCACTGATGAGTCCCAAAGTGTGGCTCTGTTTTTCCTGAAAAGCTCTGACACGGAAGGGAATGTTATTGTCAAGCGTTACCCGGGCAACCATTCACCCGTGTCTCATACTGTATCTGTGCTGCTGGACATACTGTACCATGTGTTCATTATGGATATTGATTGTTTTGTAATTGTAGGAACAAAAAGTGGAACAAAAGTGTATTTTTTGTAACTGAATTGCAACATTTAAAGGTCCTATATTACTCTATTACCATGTTAGAATGCTGTTACCTTCTCATAAACACGTCCAGAGTTGTGTTTTGTTTCAGTCACACATGTTTGAGTAATTAATCTGTCTACCTCCCCAAACCTCAAAATGCTCTCTTCCACCATATGATGTCATAACGTGGTAGTTTTGAAGTTAACAGCTACTTTTTACTTTTTGTTTAGTAGAGATTGGAAATTCCAGGGCCAAATAATACTAGTGAAGGTGTGTGGAGTTTAAAAACACAGTGGAGCACATGACATCACAAAGTGGAACAGAAGAACTCAGCTTAAATGTGCAGAATTTGTGTGTTAAACATGTGTAATTGAAACAAACCATAACTCAAGGCATGTTTTTGATGAGGAAATAACATTATAACATGGATCATAAAATAGCCTAATACAGGCCTTTTAATTGAAATATTATGAACACTACAGTCCCAGTTGAAAACATAATGAAGTTATGGTTTGATGTTGTTGTTTTTCTTGCTGGAAGTGAGCCAACAGAGTGACTATTTAGTATTTACTGAGGAAAAACACTAATAAAATACGATACTACGATTTACGATACTAAAATTCAAAACACTATTTTGATACTAAGGAGAAGACTCTCATTCCGATACTACGATGATACTAAAAACACTCTTTATCAAGACAACAGAATGTTATTTCAGCATTAAATCATGATACTTTCTTTTTTATTATAATGGACCTGTATAATCTTGCCATTTTGTATTGCCTTGTATCTTGCCATCTGTGTAATTCCTCAGTCATCCAGGTAGGTTCCACAGTGGTCCATGGGTGTATACTAGTCTGTGTGCTCTTATACTTGTTCTGATACAGCTCAAGATCATTTTAAAGTTAGTCAGGAAAGGTTAATTCCTGTCCTGTGAATGTGTTGTTTTTTTTGGTATACTCAAATGAACATCTAGTTTTGATATTAGTTTTAATAAAATGCTCTATAAGCCAGTCCTTTGTCTTATATTGGTGTGATTTTGGTTCCAGACAAAGCTTCCTGCATCAGTTTCTAATATTTCTCCACCAAATGAGCAATGTCTGGATTATTCTTATTTATAGAGCAAAAACTACTATTCACCCAATCCTGGTTTATGGAGTTAGTTCACCCTAGATTTAGTTAAAGCCTTGTTTACTGTAATCTCTATTTCCGGTATAATACGTAGTTCTGTACAGTTTTTAATCCTAAATGTTGTGTGTTTGTAGGAAGATGTTAAAACTCTGTGGAGACACGCAGGACAAACTGGCCCAGGAGCTCATCACGTTCGAACTCACCATCGAGAGAGACGTCATCGAGCCGCTCTACGACCTGGCAGAGGTGATGAGCAGATAGTATTGTTGCAATAGCATTTAACAATCCAAACCCAAATATTCTATCAATCCGGTGGTCGAAAGTCCACAAAATGTTGCCTATAACCACTAAGCTAAAACCCATGTATAAGTACAATAAGCCAGTGGATTTTGCTCCCATTGACAGCAAAGCAGTGTTTCTCTATTTGTACAAATCTATAAATGATTTGTCTCCTTGGGGTACTCATTTTTTAGACATATCTTATCCATGGTGTGGTCTCATTTTAGACCATATTTTGCTCAAATTTAAAGGTGCACTGCGCAACCTACAGTATTTGTCTCTATGGAGATGTTATTGCTTTGCTTGGAATGTTTCGTGATATGACATTAAACATATACATCTAGCATTTATTCATTATGGGTGTAATGAGTAATAATTCCTGTGGTGAACTCTCGATTCTCCAGAGATCTGAATTGTAGCATAATGCTGTGACCTGCTTGTCTCCCTTGTGACAGATAGGTTTAATCTATACCAGCGGTGTAGTGGGCGTGGTATGTGGGGAGACGCCGTCCACCCACTTCTCCCGACGTGAGATATAAAAAAAACAACAAATGTAATAAAATAGCATACAACTTAAATGTCAAACTGGAGCTACTGGCAATGGTGAAAATAACCTGCATAGGCTTACGATATCTCCAGTGCTGTCCTATAGTGACCTGTGACATGAGGGGACCAGGACTGAACCGTTACTAAACCAGAACTAAAACTGGACTAAACTGGGACTAAACCAGGTCTAAACCAGAACTAAACCAAAACTGAACTAGGATTGAGTGTTGGGACAGGCCCAGAGGTGCGCCTGTGTCGGGTGGCCACCGGAGAAAGGACCGGCCCAGACCTCCGCGCCCCATGGGGTTAAGCACAACCGTTGCCCAATCGCACTTTGCGGATACTCTGCTCCGTGGGTTCAGGATTCTCTCTCTCACTCTCAAGTCCAAGATTAGTCCTGGTTTAGGCCTGGTCCAGTTCTGGTTTAGCCCTGATTTAGACCTGGTTTAGTCCTGGTTTAGTCCTGTTTTAGTCCTGTTTCAGTCTTGGGCACATGTAGTGTAGCCTATGATTTATGTTCTGTAGGTGATTATGAATAGAATTAATGTTAATAACATGATTCCGCATCATTTTGAGTAAAAAAAACAAATAGTAGTGATTTTTACAGGGCTGGCAGGATTCATCACATCAATGACGTCACGAATTGCGTACCCCCACTTAAAAAATACCCACTATACCACTGATCTATATTGTGGAACATTTTAGACAAAGCAATAACATTTCCACGGAAACAAGCAGGTTGCAGACCCTCCACTAGAAATGTTACGCAGTGCACCTTTCAGGCAAGTTCTGATCTGGTGGTACAGAGAGAACAAAATTTTATCTCAGGTGCTACTTGATGTGCTACTAATGTGCTCATATTTTGTCTAAATATGTGACAGTAACAGTTTCTAGTTGTTTCTCACCTCTTACTCTATTGAGGGCCAGGAAAAGGTCTTCAGTCTATTTTTCAAAACTGTAATTTTGTTATTCGATCTTTATGAGAAAAATCCATCAGCCTGAGAGCCCTGTTTGTGTGCTCTGTCTCACACTGGTCGTTCTGCTCCGTCCTCTCAGGTGGAAATCCCAAATATCCAGAAACAAAGGAAACATTTAGCGAAGCTGGTCCTCGACATGGACTCTGCACGGACGCGGTGAGTGTGGGACTGTGTGTGTGCGTGTGTGTGTGCGTGTGAGAGAGAGATGACGAAAGAGACGGAGAGAGAGAAAGAGGAAGAGAAAGAGAAGAAGAGAAAGAAAGAGAGATATGGGGGAAGAAAGAGAGGGGGAAGAGGGAGAAAGAAAGAAAGAGTAGCTGGTGAAAGAGAGAGGGAGAGAGAGAAAGAGGGTAAGAGAGAGAGTGGGGAGAGGGAGTGAGAGAAAGAGGGAGGTAGATATTGAAAGAGAGGGGCAAGAGAGAGTAAGGGAGAGAGAAAGAGACAGGAGCGAACAAAAGAGAGCGGAGAGAGGGAGAGAAAGAGAGAATCAAAGAGAGGGGAGAGAGTAAGGGACTAAAAAAAAGAGAGGAAGAGAAAGAACGAAGGAGAGAATGAAAAAGAGAGAGGGAGAGAGAGCAGGTGCTGAAGACTGAGAAACTCCATCCCCTGTGAATTGACTTGGTTCAGAGCTTCCCACTGAATGTCACCAGGATTTGATTGCACTCAGAAAGGTTGTGTCTGTACTAACTTCTCACTCTAGTCCACACACAAATCATTATTGGGTTAAAAGTTTTCTTCTACTGCAAATTCCATCACGTTGTCATTGTATACACTGAGCTTTTATTGTAAATCCATAATTAGCAGCTGTTGCCTGTGAATTTAGTGTGAGGTCAAAAAATGTCATAAAGGTCATTTTAAGGATACAAGTCCCCAGGGGCAACAGATAATCTGGTTTAGCACATGCAGGATTAACCTTTAGGGACATATGCTAATACACTTTTACATTATAATATGAGTATAAGGTAATTGAATCTGACAGATAAATTTGAGCATATCAAAGATTTTCCTAATGCTCGTTTTATTAGATTTTTATATATAAATATCAATCTTTCTGCTGAGTATCTTTATTGTTATCTTGATTTTATTTACAGACACATATTTGTTTGCAACTGCAGTTTATTTGTGTTTTCAGAGTTACCTTGATAGGTTAATTTATCTATTGTTAGATCAGTTACATTATTTTACATACATACAAACAATAAAGGACCCATATTAGGCTATTTTTGTGATCTATGTTGTCATGTCCTATCCTCATCAAAAACATACCTGGTTCCTGGAGTTTGTTTCATTCACACATGTTTAACACACAACCCTGCACATTTAGGCTGAGTTCTTCTCTCAAACTGAAAATACTCAGTTCCACTTTGTGATGTCATGTGGTAATACAGGAAGTGTCCCACTGTGTTTTTAAACTACATACACATTCAGTAGAATCATTTGGATGATTTCAGACTTGAAATTGCCAATTTCTACTGAAGTCAAGGTAAACTGTCACTGTTAACTTCTGCTTCATGACATCACAAGGTGGAACAGAGCATTTTGAGCTTTGGAGATGTAGATAGACAATAAAATGTTACACAACTCCAGATATGTTTTAAGGAGGTAACAAAATTCTAACATGACTTAAAGCTCTTAAGAGTCAAATAGCATAATATGGATCCTTTAATATTTAAGTGCTCATTTTAAACAAGCCTCTCTTTTTGTTGTATTTCTTTCTGATGGATCTCGTCCCATTTTGCCATCTGCCATGCAAGGTTATTCAAAATCATTCATCCCCAAATATGCACAAATCTGACTGAAAAAGCACTGTATCTCCCCATTTTATAAAGTTGTCTGACTAAACACTCGCATTTTTGCTGGCAAAGTCATACTTAATCACAGCAACATTAAAACTCACAATTTTCAGCTAAAAACATGTTCCGCATTTTGGTGCATAAAGCAGCGCTTCACACGCTATTAAAATGTGAGAGCGCAATGGTGGAGATTGGTCCTAAAATAAAACGGACTTTCTAGTTTTATTGAGCAGTTCCAAGCTGTCAAAGTACTTTTTAAATAGCCCTATGCAATCTGAGTGATATTGCAGATTTTTGTTGAGTCATGTTTGTAAGAGTAGATGCAACATTCTGAAAATTACTCATACACAATGCTATTTTTGTCTTTTTGTTATTGTTGTATCCAAAACATAAAAAAACAAATGTGGTTCTCTCCCTGGCTGCATCAGTGAGTTTTTATGCAACACAAATCTGTAGTCATTTTTCCCATAATGCTTCAGTGCACCCAATAACAGTACACATTATATCGCTCCCTCTGCTCAGACTGTCAGATAGATAAAACTGAGCAACAATAGTTTGGGGAGGAAAAGTTGAAAAATGTCATGTCATTTTGTCAAACTTCGTAATCCCTTTCCAGACCTATTTTCTTTTATGCCGTGGTTTATCTAAGTGTCAGGCGTTGTGAAGCTTATGAGGCTAAAGAAAAATATTTCACTCCATCTTTCATTTATCAGCTTCGGGGATGGTTTTGTTTTGTTCGAGTTATTTTTTTTGAATCCTCTGAAACTCAAAATGTCTTCTTTTCAGGTACTACCAGTCCACGAAATCTTCAGGACTGTCCAGTAACATGCAGCCGACAGGAGCCAAGGCGGACCACCTCAGGGAAGAGATGGAGGAGGCAGCCAATCGCATGGAGATTTGTAGAGTATGTTTAAAATACTGATTGTTTGAGGTCTTTCAATTGGGTTATATTAAAATACTGGTACATATTCTTTGTAATAGATGAAGTTTATAGTTTCAGAAATAACTGGCTTGTAATGGCAAAAGAAAATAGGTCACTTCGGTTATTCAGTTTAGTTATTAAGTTCTAGTTTAGACCTAGATTTGAATTGGTTTAAAGGAGCGCTGCACAACTTTCTTGGAGATATAATCACTTTACCTGGAATGTTCCACAGTGTGGCATTAAACTTGTCTATCTAGCATTCATTTAATTACTCAAAAACAATTAATTACAGTCCTCAAAAATACCTTGAAAAACATCCCTTTGAATGGTCACCTCTCCACAGATCTGACCTGTAACTTGGCCATCAGAAAAGTTACGCTCTGTATCTTTAATCCTGAAGTTGTCGTAGACCAGATTTAATTTGATTAGACGATTCATATTTGCCAAATAATTATTTTTTGTGGCTTTTGTAACTATTGTGACATACTAAAAAGTACTGTCTTTATTCTCCTGTTACTTAAAGGTGCACTATGTAACTTCTAAGGTGGAGGGTTCGCAACTTGCTTGTCTCATGGAGATGTTTTTTCTTTGCATGCAGTGTTCCACAGTACAGCATTAAACATATCTGTCTTGCATTTATTCAATTACAGGTGGTTTGTAGCTCAAAAATGCATTGAAAAAACATGAATTCCTCCTATGTGCAGGCTTGCTTCTCCACAGAGCTGACCATTAACCAATAGCACATCTCTATTGTGATAACTAACTAGCAGTAACATCTCCAAAAAGACAAGCAGGTGATGGATCCTCCACCAGAAAAGTTACACAGTGCACCTTTAAAGTTATTGTTGTTTTTCAGGATCAGCTATCAGCAGACATGTACAGTTTTGTGGCCAAAGAAATAGACTATGCAAGCTACTTTCAGACGGTGAGTTTATCTCTAAGTAAACCTGTTTTTAGGTTTTCTGGGCCTGTCTTGGTCACTCTAGTCTCTGATGTTTTCAGTTGATAGAGGCTCAAGCCGAGTACCACAGGAAGTCATTAGAACTGCTCCAGAGCATACTGCCCCAGATCAAAGCGCAACAGGGTGAGTCTACACTATATTTAGATCCACATGTACTTGATTTTTATGAATACACTATATTTTTAGCAGAGGTGGAACCATTTACCCCGCTTTATAAATACTGTATATGTATAACAGAGATACAGAGTATTCTATTATTTGGCTACAACAACAAACAGCAAACATGCTTATGAAATGTGTTTAATTACATACAACTTTTACCCCTAGACAATGTTTAGCATTCAGTTTTACAATATTGAAGATACTCAAGTAATAATATGCGCTACAAAAAAGTATTTAGTCCAGCATCACTACAGACTCTAGTTAAATCTGCCCAATGTTGTTTTGCTTATAGTTCCGCTGTTATGTGGCGCCTGGGGTGGACCATTTTTAATTTAGCCCTGAACGCTTCATGCATTATTCATAAATTTTTATTTTGGGCTTTCTGCAGCTCACTTCTTTGATACAGTGAGCATTAGCATTCAGCACTGGTCCATATGCCAAAGACAGAGCCATGTGCATATTTTAAGTGACTGTGTTTGTGTGTTTGACAGAGTCCTGGGTGGAGAAGCCCTGCTATGGCAAACCATTAGTGGAGCACTTAGCACTCAGTGGGAGAGATATTGCCTTTCCCATAGAGGCCTGTGTCACCATGCTGCTGGAGTGTGGCATGCAGGAGGAGGTCAGTGGCACAACAAGCATGTCCATTCACTAAAACATGTACAACAAAGAGTGTACATTATAGTTAACATCTGTACTGTAAATACTACTAGAAACATATTTTAAAGCCACATTTAAGCTGCATGTGTAATCCCTCAGTTGTCCAGGTATGATCCATCGCAAAAGAAAAATTTAATTCTGTTAACTGGACAAGTTTTTTGAAGATGTTTTGCAGCTCATCCAAGCAGTTTCTTGAGTTCTGGTGTTAGCTACATGAATAACTAATAATTTTTTTAACTAGTATTTGTTAAGTATTTGTTTTTTATGTCTTTTCAACCAATACTCTTTAATATGGATACAGTTTAATATTTAAGATTTATTTGTGTCTAGTGTAACAGCAATTAAATAAAATAAAGTAAAGCCAATAAAGCTAAGATTGAGAATAGCTAAGTATGATCACATTATTGACCTCTGCTTCATTTCTTTCCTCTCAGGGTTTGTTCAGAGTGGCTCCTTCAGCTTCAAAACTAAAGAAGTTGAAAGCCTCGTTAGACTGTGGGGTATTGGACGTCCAGGAGTACAGCGCAGACCCTCACGCCATTGCAGGTAAAAACCAACCCAATCATTATACATGAATCTTTAAAAGAGTATTGCTAATGTTTCTCTCTTTTTGATAACTTTTTGCCTGATTTCAAGTACTACTCAAAACGACTCAAATCAAAATGAATACATGGCTCTACTGAGCCTAGTCTCACTACCGTTTAAACCTCTGTCTCTTAAAATAATCAGACTTGCTCAATGCTCTTATATATTTTTTACAAAAACATTACTAGTGTTTGCAGTAATCCCAACGTAGTCCCCACTTTTCTAATGCTCTCTTAGCATCTTAATTATTCACTGCAGTGAGTTTATAATTGCTTTCTACAACTTTTAAAGACCAGAGTGGAGTTTTTACTTTCTTATTATTTATTGGACACCCTAAAAACTTCTACAACAGATAGTTCTTCTGGGTTTATTGCAGCTGGTTTTAGTTGTAGGATCTGGCAATGCAAAGTGAGGAGCTCATTCTGCTTTTTGATTAGATAATGATGAATAATGGTTAGGAAATATTAAAGAGAACTCCAAAATACATTATGTTTAAAGGTGTAACTTTTTGGTGGGGTGTCCGTCACCTTCTTGTTTCCATGATACAGTATGTCAGTGTTCTGCCTGTGATGTTCCACAGTATGACAATAAACAGCTCTACCTTACATTTATTCAATTACAGATAATTTTTTAGCACAAAAATATTAGTCTTAGTCTTGTTCGGCCTCAATAAAGATAGAAAGGTTTAATACCATACGGTGAATCATTCCAGATGAAGCAATAATGTCTCATTGGAGAAAAGCATTTGACAGACCCTCCAACAATAAGATTTCACAATGCAGCTTTAATTCAGGCTGAAGTGAGTAATACATTATAACACTGTGCCCTGTCATGTTTCTAATATAATTGACTGCATTTGAGACAGAAACAACTTGAAGAAAAGTGGTTGTTTTCTTTGCAGTTGTCATGATTTGGTTTTAAATCAAAACCATGATGGACGAAAAAGCTTTTGAGCTGTTATGACTTTGATATTGATCTTTTTTAAGCTGAGATAGTGCTGCTTTTGTGGTGCTGTCCGTAATAAAAATGTTCCCAGATAAGAAAAAATACCTTAGCAACAACAATTCAAGCGAAATCTTATTTTTAGCTTTATAATGCAGAATTTCAGGTTGCAATATTCTTTACTATTAAAAATCTAATCAAGGCTAGACCCAATCAAATGTGTTCAGTGGTGCATGGGATAAGGCCAGGGAGATGAATCTATATCCCTCCCTAATGATCCCATATTAAAGTGGGGCAGACCGAACAGCCGATCTAATTTGCAGATCAACCCCCACGAGAGATGGCAGACTGCAATCTCTACACATCTATCTATTATTCTTTCTCTCTATATATCTCTCTATCTCTCTCTCGCTCTTGCTCTCTTTGGCTTTTACCAGTTTTTACATCTATCTCAATTTTCCTCTTTATATCTTTATCTCTCTCTCTCCACTCCCTTTCCCTCTTTGGTTCTCTCACTCTTTCACCCTTCATGTACGTCTGTATATGTCTGTATCTGTCTCTTTTTCTTCTTCACACTCCCTCTCTCTTTTCTCTCTTTCTCTCTCCCACCTTCTTTATCTCTATATAGTATATATCTCTTCCCTTTTCTCTCATCCCCTCTCTCCCTTTATCTCTTTGTGTCTATAACTGTTTCTCTCTCCATTCCTCTCTCACTCACCCTCTCTCCCTCTTTTTCTATCTCTACCTCTCTCTCCCCTTTTTTCTCCACAACCCTGTCTCTCCCTCTTTCTCCCACCCCTCTCTATCTCTATATCTCTCCATCCTTTTTTCTCCCAACCCCTCTCTCTCCCTTTTTCTTTCTCTCTCCCTAACTGTCTCTATTTTGTCCCTCTTTCTCTCTCCCTGTATCTTTCTTTCTATCCCTTTTTCACTCACCTCTCTTTCTCTCTTTTTCTTCCTTTCTTCCTCTCTCTGTCTCACAACATCGCCGCAAAACAGTAGAATCTTACAGAGAGTATCCCAGCTGTCTCCCTATGAGCGATGCCCACAGTCCCATGTTTGTCATCTATTGCACACGTCCCCGAGGGAAATGAATGCACCGGAGCAGAGACAGTAGAAGAAGACAGGACGAGACTAGGAGCAGTCCGATCATCCATCGTCCCGCATTGGAAAATTACACTACTCCCCACAAATTCACCAAATACGGTCGATAGCGGGAAATAATTCTTAGTATATTGTGCCAAAGAAGGGGCCAGCCGTATACAACAGAAGGGGAAAGGAGCCAGTATGTTTTATAGAGGACTGGATGTACATCTTTCCTATAGTGGTGCTTCTACAGGGTTCAGCTTTTACATCATTGCACATTGACTGCAGTACATGTTAATCAGGCTACATCTGATTTAGCTTGTAGAAATCATCGCATTGCTACAAATTCATAATAATCTGTCTGAATTCATTGTAAAATGCTTTTTAAGCTACAACAACTCCTATACGTTTTAAATTGCATTGTTAGCTATCATAATTTGGAAAAGTTTTAACAGGGAAGTGCACAACGTAAAAGACACAATAGGCAAAATCCTCCAGCAGATGTAGCCTCACCCAAACGTGTCTTAGGATCTGGGGATGTGTTCCCTGGGCATGGTATTGTGGCACCCACTGCTCCTTACCGGTTTCCCCAGAGACATTGAAGGATGGATAAAATGCATAGAATGAAATGGGTCAATAATGAATACTATGTTCCACCCACAGACTGTATAAAGAAGTGGATTAAGCAAGGGTGACGTCACCCACAATGTTCGGCTCCACTTAAATGAAGCTCGCGATGCTAGCACTTATAGGGGCTAGCATGTTAGCTATGTCCATTTATATATATTGTCTATGGTTCCACCTTGTGATGTCATTTAGTGGTACTTTTCAAGTTAACAGCTACCTTTTACCTTTAGTTCAGTAGAAATTGGCAATTCCAGGGCTAAGATCATTCAAATGATTCACAGTGTAGCACTTCTTGGATTACCACATGACATCACAAGGTGGAGTGTTTTCAATCTGAGAGACGAACTGAGCCTAAATATACAGGGTTTGTGTGTTAAACATGTGTGAATGAAACAAAACACAACTCCAGGTCTGTTTTTGATGAGGAAACAACATTATAACATCCATAAGAAAATTGTGTAATATGGGCCCTTTAACCTTACTTAAATACATTTTAGTTATATTATAATAAATTGAAGTACTAGTTTTTATGCCAAATCCTCACTGATATTAAATTATACGGTTGCCAATCTTACTGCTCTGGTTAAAAACAACATTTGAGTAGATAATTGTTGACACTGAACACTTTTCCTGGTGTCAGACCAAAAGGGAAATTAGTCATTTCATTTGTGTTAATTGCTCAGAATGACACAATTTACAAGGTAAGTAGTATAATAAATTGTATAATGACAGCTAAAATAATTGTCTTTTTAAGTCTGTAGTTTTTGCTACTTTCCACTTTAGTACAACCCTTACACTAGAAAAAGAAAGGTTTAAATTATCTATATTTAACATTTGTTTGTTTTTGTTTTTCAGGTGCTTTGAAATCCTACCTTCGAGAACTCCCTGAACCACTGATGACCTTTGACCTTTACAATGACTGGATACAGGCATCAAAGTTAGTGCTTTCTAAATCTAATAATATTTTTATATGAACATTTATAAGCTCTACATATTGCTATTGTCATCTGTTGTTTTTCAGCATCCAAGACCAAGACAAGAGACTGCAGGCTCTTCTTGGTGCTTGTGAAAAACTACCACCAGCGAACGGCAACAATTTTAAGTAAGTTTAGCTCAGTTTTGCCCTGATCCAAACACTTTGTACATTCTTTTTTCCATCACATTTTTGAAGCCTTTTGATGTCACTTTCTCTGACACATTTCTCTTATCACAAAAGCAAAGTATTTCTTTTGACTGGCACCTGTCACAGAAAAGATAGTGAACTCTGTGTGACCGATATGTCTATGGAGCTGCTCCTGCTGCCGTTGACAAAGCTGAAGACTATTCAAGTGGAAGAAAAACTCTAACCTGTGCATACTGTTGCTCATGCTGTTGCTTCATTATCAGCAACAGTAGTGACACTCCCAGCTTGAGTAAATGTAAAGGTGTTCATTAGGGAGTATATCCAGACTTTGCCAATTAAATAGATACTTTATTGATCCCAAAAGAAAAAAAAAGAAAAAAATCAATCAATAAAATATCATCAATAAAAAAATAACAGTAACAGATAGTATACAGATATTTTTGCTGTGGAAACTACTGTATTACTATTACTCTAGTTATCATAAGCACTGCCTTGAGTGGGAAGAAGCTCACTTTTACTCAATATACACTTCTCCAGTTTGGAATAGAAATTTTTTTTTTTAAGAATCAGTTACTTATTCATAAACATCTACAGGAGGCAAGGTGGGTGAAGTGTGTTGCCCAAGGACACAACAGCAGTTAGAACTGTGCAGTCAAATTTAAATACATTGAGAACTAATAATTTCTAATGGTCAATGATCATCTTAAGTCTTTCTATAGAGCGGTCTATAGTTGATCCTGTGACAAACGACAAACGAGGATGAAACTTTTTTTTGTGTGGCACTGACTAAAAGTTGGTTCAGGAAATGTGTATAGTGATATTTTTATTAGCTTTTCAATAGACAAAATCATATTAAATCAATAATTATGATTGATCAATATGAGGAAAAATCTACCACCCTCAGGCTTAGTGGCCAAATGTCTTGCCAAACTGTGCTACTACCACCAGATTTAAAATTCAGTGAAGTTAAAGTACAAGAATGTCCTCCAGTCTTTTCTTCACTAATCAAACCCCAATAGCAGGATATGTAAATCAGCCACTCTCCACACTGTAATCATCATATCCATATCCACTGGTCTTTCTCAAACACCTAGCGCCTGAAACACTGCAGTACTTGTCATTGCACGAGTACTGGGTATATTTTTAGACAGTGGTGCTCTGTGGAGACCTGTCAAACCTGTCCTGGTGATTGCCATTCTCTGCATGATGTTCATTCAACTGTGTTTCACCCACGATGAGTCATCCCCCTCTCAGCTGCTCCACAGTCACACAAACCCACTGGCCCATTTCAGACCCTTCATATAATAACATAGTGCACAGATGGTGGGATAGAGGAGAAAAGGTACATCTGAACAGGCATTATCATTATTATTATTATTATTATTATGGGCCTATGGCTGGAAAAATGGTCTTATGTAGTTTAAAAGAAAAGCTGGGAAAGTACTCTGGACAACAGCGTACATATTGTCATGCAGTATCTCACATTACACATCTCAAATTACTGCTCAACTAATAATATCATTCTGTTTTTATACTATATGAGGAAATGACACAAAGAAACTATCATGATAATCATTGTATATCATCTTTCTGTTAAACAGGTATTTGATCAAGTTTCTCTCTAAACTCACTGAATACCAAGATGTGAACAAGATGACTCCTGGAAACATTGCCATCGTCCTGGGACCAAACCTGCTTTGGACACACAATGAAGGGTAAGTTTAAAGGTTAAAGATGCATTATGTAACTTTCCTGGTGGTGGTCTAGAGATGTTATTACTTTGCCTGTGTAGAATGTTCCACAGTGTAGCATTAAACTTATCTACAGGTGATTTTAATTCTAAAAACATTCCTTGAGCAACTTGCAACTTGCCTAGTGGTGACATTGCCTTTCTGTCTCCATGGAGTTTAATGCCATACTGTGGGACATTCCAAGTAAAGCAGGGCATATTCATGGAGACAGACCCTCTTCCAGAAAAGTTACATATTGCACCTTTAAAGTGAATTTCTCAACTTTTTAACAGAAATTGTACGCGGCTATTAATCATATACTACCTTTGACGCTTGGTTTATATTTTCATAATTAATACTGAGGCAAGGAAAAACTGGGAAACTGGAAGATTCTCTAATACCATGGGAACTGGCCATAACATAATGAATGTATGACCTTTTGTATATTTAATGTAACAAATATATCTGCCAAAAAAGCCATTAAGGAGCACCGGGAGTTTATTCTGCAGCTTATTCCCTTATTCTTAATTTTTTATATAAAAGTTTTGTTAAACTTTTGATGAGATTTTTTTTGCCTTTAGCATAATGTGATACAAGTGTTAAAATTACTATCTATTGGGCTTCACTGGCTCTAACATAGGTCTATTATCAACATAGCTGCAGGAAGAAAAATTATATCACAGTGAATTTAAGATAATGACAAAACGCTTCATAGTGCCATTATAAATCGTACATTCATTGTTTATTGTATAGCTTAATATGCATTTTGGTGACTATTATTACTTTAGTTTACATATTGAGAATAGGGATGATGGGCCCCAACAAATCTATCAAATTCTTTTTCAGTATCACTCTTTGACACAAATGACAGTCCCAACATTTTTTTTAAAATTACCCTGATATTAAAGGACCCATATTACACTATTTTCTGATCTGTTATAATGTTGTTTCCTCATCAAAAACAAACCCGGGGTTGTGTTTTGTTTCATTCACACATGTTTAACACCTGCATATTTAGGCTCAATTTTAAACTGAAAACACTGTTCCATCTTGTGTAATACAGGAAGTGCTCTACTGTGTTTTTAAACCCCATACGCCTTTACTAGAATCATTTGGATAATTTCAGTGCTGGAATTGTCAATCTCTACTGAACTAACTAACTTGGAAACTACCACTACATGACATCACAAGGTACAGAGCATTTTGGGCTTTGGAGATGTAGACAGATAGCCAGGCTGGCTCCACCTAGTGCCGCTGCTCAGTGACCAGCTCCAGCGACTAGGTCAGGAATCAACAATTCCCGAGATCACGACCAAATAGCAGCGCTTTGTTAAATTTAAAAAAGTACCCGCCTACTGCCATACAAATGAATTTTAACGCTGCAAGGTCTGACAGTTTCTACAAAGTGAAATCGGCTGATGAATCAGGCTAGTAGACAGACTAATAATAAAAGGTTACTCAGACATGTGTGAATGAAACAAAACACGACTTCAGGTCTGTTTTTGAGGAGGTAACAACATTATAAAATGTCTTCAAGCTTACAAGAATCCGTTTTGTGTAATATAGGACTTTTAATGCTATTCTGACAATATTTTTTCCATTCATAAGAAATGTGTGTTTAAATGCCTTGCTTGTGAATAATAATAATATTGTCCACATGTGAAAGGACATACAGATTTTGTATAACATCAGATTAACATCATATATTGATAGTTTAGACAATGCGTAAAACACTGTATCTCACCAAACTTACATTTTAACTAAATACATAGTTTTGAAGACAGAAAGCAAATGCGCTTGTGCTCATATTGTTCTGGCTCATCTTCATTCATACATGGACTTGTTGTTTTCAGAAATATTACAGAGATGATGACAACCGTTTCTCTCCAAATCGTCGGCATCATTGAGCCGATCATTCAACATGCAGACTGGTTCTTCCCGGGAGGTACCCCTCATCTCATCAAAACGTCAAACTTTAAATTTGAAAAATCACTACTAAATATGTAAATTGAATTGTCTTTTTGCAGAGATTGAGTTCAATGTCACAGGGAACTATGGCAGCCCAGTCCACACGAACCACAATGCCAACTACAGCCTGATGCCCTCTCCGGATATGGACCAGATCGAGCGGAAACAAAATGATCAATGTAGACGACCTCTCAGCGTTGCCACGGACAACATGATGCTGGAGTTCTACAAGAAAGATGGGTAAGGGTCTATTTCATGTATTTATTATTAGATACAGCAAACTGGACCAACCAATTAAAGGTGAACTATGTGAACTTTCTTGTGGAGGGTCTGCCACCTGCTTTTTTCCACAGAGATGTTTTTGCTTTTTCTCACAATATTCCGCAGTATAGCCAGTGACACCGATAGGTGTTGCTAGAAATATTTGTATTATTCGTTCATTCGTTTTTCAAAATAAAACCAAAAATAAGAAAATGGAAAATAAAACTAATTTCTTCATGATTTGTGTCCAAAACCAAATTTTAAAAAACAGATAATGATTAATTTTTTCAGTTTTCGATTTTGTGTTTAAATGAAAAATGGAAAAACCTGATAACGGCCGTTTCCCGTTTCCGTGACTTAAACTGCGATGCCGGACTGAACCAGGACTGAACCACGACTAAACCAGGACTGAGTGTCAGGACGGACTTGGAGGTGCACCCACGTGGACTGCTGGGTGATCAAGACTGAGACCGGGACCAGACCGGGACCAGACTGAGATTGGGACCTGGTTTAGTCCTGATTCAGTTCTGGTTTAGACCTGGTTTAGTCTTGGTTCAGTCCTGGTTTAGACCTGGTTTAGTCCTGGTGTAGTCCTGTTTTAGTCCTGGTTCAGTCCTGGTTCAGTCCCAGTCTGATCCCAGTCTCAGTCCCGGTCTCTGTCCTGGTCTCAGTCCCAGTCTCAGTCCTGATCACCCGACAGTCTACGCAGGCACACATCCAGGCCCGCCCCGACGCTCAGTCCTGGATTAGTCCTGGTGTAGTCCTGTTTTAGTCCTGATTCAGTCCTGTTTCAGTTCTGGTTCAGTCCGGCATCTCAGTTTAAGTCACGGAGATAGAAAATGGCCGTTATCCGTTTTTTTCCATTATTCATTTAAACACAAAATCGAAAACTGAAAAAAACTAATCCTTATCCATTTTTCATTTTGGTTTTGGAGACAAATAAAAAAGTTGTTTTTTTTTCATTTTCTTATATTTGGTTTAATTTAAAAAAACTAATGAACGAATGATACATGGATTGTTAGAGGTAAGATTTGTGGAGAGGCAACCCCTCTCAGATAAGTTTGATGCTGTACTGTGGAACATTCCAAGCAAAGCAATAACATTTCCATAGAGACAGAGCAGCAGTAGCAGACCCCTCAACAGAAAAGTTATATAGTGTGCTTGATAATAAAATGAGATACATATGAGAAGTGTACAGCCATTAATATTAGTTATTAGGGAAAAAATTAATTCATATTTTTACTTTAGAAACTTTGACTTTGACAATATCTTGTCAAGTATGAAGTAGCCTCTTGTTCTTTTGGCTGTCATCGTCAGGGTGGATCTGTAACTGACAGCTGAGTTGGCGTGTTAGCTTTGCACTATTCTTTCACATGTGTTCATTTTCAGCCCGACTACTTTTTGACAGGGTCGGGTATGTCAAGTTGGACATCTCTAGTGAAAAGGTGAAGCAGAAAAATAATAGTGTAGCTTTAAATCTATCTCAGGTTTTGTGGATTGTTAGAGCAAAAAGAAACCCCAGCTGTGAGGATTGGTTTAAAGCTCTTGTCCTTACCTATTTCGCGTTTTTCTTTCTTTCTCTCTTTGTGAAGCCCTGTTACACCTCGGGGTTATCAGCGCTGAAGGGTGCAGGGCTATAGGCTGTGCTAATTAAACCTGAAGTGGGTCTGATCAATAGCAGTGGCTTTGAATAGAGACACTCCTGAACTGAATCAGAGCTCAGGGGTCTCCTCATCTGCTCAGTACACGTTTCACTCTTTTCAGATACAAAGGGCTTTAGATTAAAGTTTCTTTTAGGAAAAATTGATATTTCACAATCATATGTCATTATTAACAGGATTGGTACATGATTACTATCTACACTTCATTTCATAACATTATTTAGGTTCAGGGAGACTATATTGATCCATAAGGGAAAACTGTACAGTATTTTGATGCATTTTACACACAATTCTACTTTTTTAAGATATGTCTTACTAGTGAAATGTATACATGGGTTTCAGTCTCATGTCTATCGGCACCATTTTGACTTTTGGTTCCTATTTTTGTTTTTGAATGTTAATTGCTATAAAAACAGTGCTATTATGTCAACACACTGAAACACAATTCACATAACTTAACTCTTGATCCTTTCTGTAATGACATCTTAAATTCCCATGTTGTAGTTTTTGAGATTGTGGTAAAAAGTCAAATTTTCAGCTGTTATAGAACTGAATCATTCAGCCATTATGCAATTCCCAGTAGTCTACAGCAAAGTACATATTGTTCTGTTTTGTATGAAAAAAAAAAGTGACTCGAGTATCCAAAGCTGTGAACAAGACCTCCAAAGTGACTATGAAACCCTACACGTTTCCCAGTTTCCATTAGGGAATCTTTGACCCAATTATGCCTAAATGGAGCAGTAATTTCCACTCTGTGCGACACCGGCTGGAGCACCTTGGGGAGAAAACGTTTCACCCTCGGAAAATGCTTCGCTCATTACACTTGGCATGAGTCGTGTCTGCCCCCATGCCCCCTGCCAGGCTCAAACTCTCCTCCTTTTCTGGACACTTATTTATTTATTACTGAATTGAAGGTGCACTGTGTAACTTTTCTAGTGGAGAGCCTGCCATCTGCTTGTCTCCATGGGGATTTTTTTTCCCCTGGTATGTTCCACATTATGGCATTAAACTAATCTTGATGGAGACAAGCAAGTGACAGGTATTTCTGAGCAATAAAAATAACTAATTGAATAAATGCTAAATGCATTTAATGCTATATGGTGAACCTGTCTTGACAAAACAATAAAATGTCCAAGGTGGAGTTGCATAGTATAGAAGAAGAAAGAGATCCATGCTGCCATTTTTTGAAGCTCACAAATTTTTATTTTAATCCAGTGCGGATCTCTTTCTGCTTTTGCACAATTTTTTGTCTTTCTGTTACTGGATGTGCATGTCTCTATCTACCAGTAGAATTACATAGTGCACCTTTAAATTGCTAACCCTGTCACAGTAATTACATCTTGAACCTATTGTTCATTACACAACAGATGGAACAATAATTTTGGGGGGGTCAGTATTTATCATGGGTACTTTCCCTTGTAGATTGTATTTTGGTTATTTTTCTGTACTATGATGAGATTTGGGCTGTAGAAGGTTGAATAAATAACTTCTGTGACTCATTCTAGATGTATACTAACTTCTTCTAAGTATTTCATTCTGTTATTTATGTATTGTAGCTCATATTTTTAATAATATTGTACATTTACTTTTTGGGGGATAATTCTGCTTTATGGTTTGGTTTGAATATTATTGGTTATTGTCTATAATTAGTTCAACAATATATCGCACCTAAAAGTTGTTATCATGACAGGCTTATATCCAGCAAATGTTTATTTTCAACATAGATTTTAAATGCATGGCTAATAATGTGCACTCTTCACTGTTTGCTTAATGTTTCTCTTAACCATGCAGCATTAGGAAGATCCAAAGGTACAGTACTGCTCCTTTCCTCTTGTTTCACTGGTTTTCTTACCCACATTTTTGCTAAATCTTTATTTCAAAGGCTTAAATTGGTTGTCTGACAGAACTATGAAAGTAACAAAGCCAGTCTATGCTCCGTGTTTATTTAGTTAACATTTTCATGGGTCTCTTAGCAGTGGATAGACTAGTTCTGTACAATAGCCTCTTGTTTCTTCATCAGACCAGTCTTGATAATGTTGACGTTGTTTTCTATAACACTGTTGTAAAGACTCATTCACTCATCCATCCTTTTGTTCTCTTTCTTTCAAACCACTCTTGAGTTGGAGTTTCCCAATTCTATGTTTCAGATCATTATCACTGAAAGTCTTTTAGACAATTTATGTTGTTTATATTCCCTGGCAACAGTGGTAGTTTATTGTGTAAACCTGTAATTGGTTCCTGCTGATTCAATGTGGTTTTATAGCCCGCAATTACAGGCAACCTTGGTTATAAATGGAATTATTTACTACAAGACTTCTTTTGAGGTAATTGCAATACAGATCTAAAAATAAGTATCTTAATTTACATATTTTTTATGTAGTCTAGTTTTAGTAAATCAGTATGCATTTACTGAGCATTTATATGTTAACAGTTTTAGAATTCAGACTATTTCAACATTTAAAAGACCATATTACTGTGTTTCAGAATACATCACAGAATTTCAGATACAGATAGGGGAGAGCTAAAGTGAATAGAGAGAGAGTTACTTTATTGATCCCGAAGGAAATATATTGTATATTGAATATTGTTAAAATGCAGATTTTTGTTGTAATACTTACTTAGTGTCACTTAGTAGAATCAGGAGTTTATCTTTTATTAATATCAATATTTTACCAATATGGCAATCTGACTCTTGCATCATCATCATCATCACATTCAAGTCTGAAAACCACCTTTAGGCACACTTAAATATTCAAGAGTTTTATTTATCTTAAATGTCTGAAGTATGAAAAAAAGACTTAGGAAGTTTCTCTCTTAAAAGCGAAGTAAAATAATCACCCAGCTCGCCCCTCCCTGCCCCCTTTAAAAGCAGTGTCCCATCCCCTGATTGGCTGTGCCTCTCTGTCCCACCGCAGCATGGGCATCAGGGTCATGGACACTTCCTGGGTGTCACGCAGGGGCTCGCGTAAATGTTCATCCACGCCGCCCCACGTGCACCCACCCACCCCGCCCATTGACGAGCGCTCAGTCACCCCCTCCCAACCCCTCCACCCAATAGCAGCGACCGTGCCAGGTAAGAGCCCGTGTATAGCCAGTGTATAGCCCCCCTTCCCAGTCCGTATGGTCCCATCCCGCGCACTGCCCCAAACGTTGCACCTCCACTTAACTCTTTACCCCGTCCTCTGCGCCCCACTACTCCAGATCCAGGCTTTTGGGCTGTCTGCTAACTTTTTTATTTTTAAATGTGTGATGATTGCATTTCATCACTGCATGTCATGCTTAAATGTTGTGAGGTTGTACTTTAGTATATACTGACGCATTTGTTAAGTACTGTAGGTACCAAACTCTCAACCTCCATAATCTCCATAATCATGTGTTGTACTGTGGATTATCTTTTCCTCCCTTCAAATAGTCACATCTAGATTACTTGAATTAAGAATATTTAATTTGATTTGAGTAAAATATGTGAAATATGTTTCGCTAAACTTCATATCTGTGACTTAATTTTCTTGATTACAAGTCCAACGCTCAAATCAAAATATTCCACATTCAAGCTAATTTAATGTTTTTAGATATTACATTTGCTGTGTTTTCTCTTCTGTCTTTCTCTGTCTAAAAACAATTTCTGTGTAAACTGGGTTTGGCTACAGTCCACTGCATGAACAGTATTGCATGTTTTCTATTTTAATTTACTCAAACATCTCAAACACCTTTTCATTGTCACAATACACTCATGCTAAAGGGATAGTATGTTGTATGTATGTTTTATGTAACTAAACGCATGGTCATATTAACTTAATTTTTTATGCCTGCTGCTTTTTTTCTTCCCAACCCAAAATATCAGTGCACTTATCTCCCCCTTCGTCACTGTTAAATGATCGTCACCACCTGAATATCCCTCTTTCTATACTTTTGCATTAAAATAAACTCCACTTAATCTGAAAATGGCGCTGTCCTCTTTGCAAACCCCTTTTACTATTTCTATCATTGCAGCTCTGATGATGCGTCCTCGAATTGGTCGGACTCCTGTTACACGTACCCCTCTCCCGATGAGGAAAGACCGCCGCCCCCTTACCCTTACTCCTCCTCCCTCTCCTCTTCCTCCTCCGGCTCTGCCTTTTCTGCCCCCCATCACCACTTCTACACCCGAGCACCCCCGAGTATGCGCCCCTTTGCCTCTAACCCAGAGTGTGTGTCCCCGCCTGGCCCCTCCCCTCCTCCGCGCTGGTCCGTGTTTAGCCCCCCTTCGCTCTCAGCTTTTTGCTCTCTGGACGTGAACTCTAACCCCAAATCCCTGTCTGAACCCCAGCATGCGCCCCTCGCTTCTGAATCGAACGGGTCGAATCTTTATATCAAACCTCCGCTCGTTCTCACACGCCACGATCTGTTCCCAAACTGCCCCCCCAGACCCCACAGCACACCCCTGTCCGCCCCCCCTCCCTGGTCGGCCTGTGCTTGTACCAAAGACAGAGGCACCAGGCTGAATAGGTAACTACACATCCTGAAAACTAATTAGTGGAGCTTACTCAACTCAACTTCATCGTTCTACTATTTAAAACAAAAATAGTTACGATAAGATAGCTTCACATTTTCTTATTTTAATTTATGCTTTTTGTAGACATTTTGGTGTTTATGCAGTTCCTTAGTTTCTTTAAATCTTGTGGTCAATACACTGCCCAGGATAGCACAGTCCTCAACAAGTAATAAACAAATATGCTAGAATTAATTAAAGGTGCACTGCGCAACTTTTCTGGTGGAGGGTCGGCTACCTACTTGTCTCCATGGAGATGTGATTTGCTTTCCATGGAATGTTCGATTGTTGTTCTGTGAATAGGGATGCCACAGATCTGAACTGTAATGTAGCTGTAACGTGCTTGTGTCCTTTGTGATAGATTCAGTCTAGGTTCTAGGTTCAATCTAGTCAGACTGGCGCCACCTAGTGCCTCTGCTCAATTTAATTTCTCTCCAGCGACTAGGTCAGAAATTGGAATATACTAGACGGTTTGCAAGAAGCCCGAAAGTTGTAGACCGCTCACCTAGAGGAAGAGCTATGAAGCCATGACGTCAAAATCAAGCTCCTGTCTGGGTCCCTTTTGTGGTACAGCACAACAGTAAACAAAGCGGTCGAGATGGATGTACATGAAGCCATACATTCTGTGTTGGCAATGATTCCCGAGATCAAGGATTTAAACAAAGAGAGAAATTTGGTGAATTTTATCAAGAGGAAAGACATTATTGCCCTTCTTCTCACGGGATTTGGCGCATTACATACGCCATGACCAAATAGCAGTGATTGGTTAAATAAAAAAAGTACCCGCCTACCGTTGAGCGAACGAATCCTAATGCTGCGAGGTCAGACGGTTTCCACGAAGTGAAACCGTCTGATGAATCAGGCTAGGTTCAATCTATTGTGTAGAACATTCTAGACAAAGCAGTAACATTTCCATGGAAACAAGCAGGTGGCAGACCTCAACTAGAAATGTTACTCAATGCATCTTTAAGGATTTGATAAAATGTAATAGTGATTAATATAGCTTAGCTTTATTTTTATGACATTTCCATTGCCTCTAATACAGCAATTATGTAAACATCAATGAATTGCATTTAAACATTTAATTGAGTTTCTAAAAATGATTTAGACCTGTCTTTGTGTTGTATTTTTAGTTTGTTTTTTACAGTGTTAACATTAGGGTTCTACTGAGACAGCCCACAGCCCTGAGAGAACGTCCCCAGGGATAGAGTGAATTGAATAGCGGTGTCTAAAAGGATTGGCTGGGCTCCTCCTGCCTATTTGACCGTCTCTCTTATTTCCTGTGTTGAGATACCTGTCACTCAACCTTAATCAATACTCATTAGGAGCTGCCACCTTTTGTTATCCCCCCCATCTTTAATTTAAACGCAGCGTATGCAATCTATATAACTTTCCATGTTGGCGGGATATTCTGAAGCCGGTTACCAGGCAACAAAGGAAATCCAGAGCTTCGGGTGAATGGCATTATAAAGTGGGCGTTAATGAGTCATAGCCCGTCAGAGCCGATTGTGACGAGAACAAACCTCACAAGCAAAAAGAAACAACATGGAAAGAACTCATCAATAATTTATACTTTACATTTTTACATTGATGTCGTAAATATAGCATGCTCATTCATCCACCCATTTTTCATAATAAAATAACAGGCAGATGGTACAGACTAGTTGTGGTGTTGTGACCTTCGTGTCCCCATTGGCATTCAGGCTGCACTGCACTGTAAATAATATATCCATTAAGGTTCAGTTTGATTTTTGAAAAGCTTTGGCTCCTATAGAATGTATAGATGTCTGAGTGCATTTGTGGTCACTAACGCAGTCTGACTAAACTACGGTGATCTATAATACATAATTACAGAAGCAGAGTTGACAGGATAAAAGGTCTTTAGATGCATGTGTCAATGTTAGTTTGAGGTATGTTTGTCTCATTGGTTTTGTTTATGTCCCTCTCAGCACCCTAAAGAACAAGGAGCTGTCTCCGGTGATTGGGCAGAAAGGGCTTCAGGGAACAGTGACCTCTAGTGGCCCTTCTCAGCTATCAGAGCACAGCCCACATTCACTAAGAAGAGGTAAATCAGACCCATCAGCCATAGCATGTTCATATCATGGGTTTTTATAGTAACTTTTGTTAAAGACTGTAATATAATTTAGATTAACATGAAATAATATCATATAAAAGGCTGAATTGTGCCAGTCCCAAGCCCAAATAAAGAAATATTTTAATCACTATTGAAAAGAAAATTAATGTGACCAATAGCACTGTACTTGATTTTCAGTTCAGTCTAAAATAATATAGTAGACTCGGACTGAATTCATATTAAAACATTTATTTACGGTTTTATGCCTAGGTTTATTATTGACTGCATTTGAGAGTCATTCCTGGAGTTTTTTGATCAGCTAACATTACTGCTTTTGTCTCTACAGCAAAGAAACTAGCCCCTATCCCACCTAAGCCCCCCTATTCTCAGACAGGAGCGATCTCAGACCAGTCTACGGGACAGCCCTCTCCGGTTAGCCTATCTCCCACTCCCCCCAGCACCCCCTCTCCCTACGGCTTCAGTTACCCTCAAGGTTACGCCACCATAGGCTCCCCCATACAGGTGCAGTCCGCTACCACGCCCTCCCTGTCTTCTCCCCCTTCTCTGGCCGGGACCCTCACCAAGGCCCGACCGACGCCCAAACCTCCCCGAAATAGACCCAGCCTGCCTCCCCCTCAGCCCCCCAGCACCCCTGGGACCAGCCCACAGCCTCTAGACCACTCCACTGGGCTGCTAGATGGACTATCGCAAGGGGAGAGCATGTCCACAGGTGAGAAAAGTAACATATGATCAATATAAACTAGTCTTTGTCACTCCACTGCTTTAAAAAATATGTAATAAAGACATAATAATGACAAGAACATATTTTTAAACTACAAAAGTACTACAATAGAAAATGTCTACATATTATTCACAGTACAATGTCTTTTTAACATTGAATTGATTCAAATCCACAGTTTAATCCACATTTTAATCCAGTTATATTTGTAACCTGATTTGTCCTGTGACTATTTTAAACTTTTACATTAATAATACATTGTCTTAAAATAAGCTGAACATTTTAAACTCAAACAAAATGTTCAAACACAATTGCACTAATTATTTTCATGCATCAAAAATGCTCTTTTTTTATTAGAGAACCAGCTAACTAGTATAAATGTAACTTAACATTTTTTCAGACTTTTTCTATGGATTCATAATTATATTCCCATTCACTTAAATACTTTATTAACTGTCCCTTTTGTCGACTGCTCTGACTTCCAGCGGTATGAGGCCAGAGGGTCAGTTTAGGGTAAGCAGGAGTTAACCCTCACCTCCTCGCACTCTCCAACTCCTCCACCATGTTGGACCCACATCCAGTTCAATTGCACGCCCGGAGTAGAGTAAAGCTGCTAATAGCGTTTTGTGTCAGATTAATTCCAATATTTTCTCAGTAATGAAGGCTTGTTTTGATGATTAAAGCCAATTTCTGACACAAATCTCTATGGTTACTTGACTCTACTTTCATTTTTACATGCAGTGGCTGTTCAGTACACCCCTTGTAAATAACAATATGGATTTAAGCCTGTGCATGGTGCCTGAGACTAATGCATGGCTTAAAAATAATAATTCACCATTCACTTCAAACCCAGGGCTTCTTTTTTGGTTTACACTTATTTTTTCCATCCTAAATATTTCCTACAACGCCCCTTCTCCCTTCACTCTCACCCCACTGCCCACCTCAGTACACTCCCCTTGTGCATTGTCTAGTGGTCCATCACTCAAAACATGGGTATCATCAACACAACATGCCAAAAATGTATAGTGAAATGTTAAATGAAAAATGTATGCTTTTTAGTTTGTAAATAGTGTATATTGACACAGAAACGACTTGTGTTTTCCCATAGACTGTATATATAAATGGTCATAGATAACCTGCTAGCCGCCACTTTCAAAATAGGAAGTGTTCATGGGGGCGTTTCCAGCTCCATCAACTCTGTTTCCAATTGACTTTACATTGAAAAATTGTTAACCCTCTCTATGTAACTGCTGCAGTAAGCCTTGTCATTTTTGTCTTTAAAATGTTCGTATTAACCCACTTAACTGGAGTTTTTAATTCACTATTTAGTCCATAAATAAATTACTGTTCGAAATATGGAACTGGCTCCAAATTTGCTCCTATAACTGCTATCTTTGTGAGCTTCATTTGATTGGAGCCGAATGCTATAGGTGACATCACACTTCCTTAGTCCACTTCTTTATACAGTCTATGGTTTGTCCCAATGTTCAGTGTAGCACAAGTTCAATGTGTTTTAAAAGCAAGGCAAAATAGCATTCAGTTTTACTTTTGAGATTGAATTTATATATACTGATACCAAACTACATTTTTTCTTGCTTGAGCTTTCTACCTGCCTGAGAAAGTTGAGATGATTTATTGTTTTGGGAATATTGTTAGCCAGCTACCAATGTTGGTCAGCTCAAGTTGCTAGGGCAGACCGCTGCTAAATCTAACAAACCAGAACACAATGGAAACTACATTTTAGGTCATTTTAAGGAGGTCAGTTTCAGTTCCTTTTCATAGATGGGGACATAGTGGGTTTACTGTAGTTCTTTGCACTTTCCTTGGGCAAAAATACAAACAGTTTTAGACAATTAAAAAAATATAAAACCACATCCACACAACTTAATTATTTAATTTATTGTCAATCAATTTTCCCTTCTCTAGATTCTTTCTGTAACCTGGAGATCCCAGTCATCAACATGGAGCTGGACAGTATTTTCGACATGCCTCACATCTCAAACTTCAGAAACTCATTGACATTTTACGAATCGAGCCACAAGGGGGCGGAGTCTGAGGAGGAGTCTGAGAGCACAGTGCTATGACATTGCTGGCTTTAGCTTTATTTAGCTTTAGCTGTTCAAAACATCATCTACATCTCTGCACTATGGAATCAACAAAGGAGGACACAGTCAGATCTCAATGTAGTCCTGGACTTTTGGTCAATAGGGTTTTTACATTTGCTGGTTTTATTCATGGCATATACAGTAGGTTTTTAATTGTTTGTTTTTTTTTATTTATGTTTTGCCTTATTTGAATCACTTGCAATATTGCCTTTAAATCACAAATACTGGACTATAGCTGCTCAAAGGACCAAGTGCTCTTTGCTCAGAAGAAACAAAACCTGTACATCTGTCGCTTAGGAAATTTTGAGTTGATCCTATGTTGCCATCTCTAGTTTGTCCTTTTTTCTCAGGGTTGTCAATAGAAAGATTCAGCACTAAATTATGGTGGCAACAATCCCTGATGTGTGTCCCAATGTGAGTGTGCCATTATTTTCTGTTTGTGTGTTTTTGCATGTTTTTACAGTGGTAATAGGTTTTTGGAAAGCTAGGCTGGAAAAACAATTCCCAGATCATCTCACTACTCAAATCATTCAAATGTTTTGGTTTATAAGAATATAGACTATAGATCGAACTTTCCAGAGGGAATCATTTGAAATTTTGCAATCATGGACAATTTAATCATGACAGTGGCAGATACATTGTGCATCTGAAAATGTTAAGTAAAAGTAAAAAAAAAAAAAAAAAAAAAAAAAAACAGTCTGCAGTATATTATGGCAACTCAACTCTCATGAGGATGAACATTATCAAATCATTTTGGCAGCAAGAGAAAATACTTTACAAATAAGGAGCAGATATTCATGAAAATGATAAAGTCCAGTCAGTCATTGTAGTTAGCCATGCTGCGCTCAGTGTCTCCATCATGGTTGCAAGAGCAGTTTTAAGACATTTAATATATTTTGCTAATTACTGGTGACTCAGAAATAGGTACAGAAGTGTTTATTTTAAAGAGAATATTTGTACTGATATATTTAAAGTAATTTTAGAATGAATCACTTGGGACCAGACTATATCCACTGATGAATTCAGATGAAAACGAGGTTAGTTTTGGGTGTGATACTTGCCTTGAGATGGGCCTTTGGACCTGTCACGGTTTGTAAGACTTTATGTTGGTGCATCCGCTTCACTTGGCCTCAAAGTCACTGTGCTGCTCCCATTGTGTTTGTTTAAGTGCGTTATTATTATTATTATTCACTATAGCTTTGTAAATAGTGTCTGTACATATGTGTTGTGTATATAGTGAAGGGGAGAAATTTAATATTTACAGATATAATATACAGAAAAGATAATGCTGACAGTAACATTGTATTGTAAATATAAATATGATACATTATGACAATACAGTAGTTCTAGCACAATGTTGCCAGAATCACTTAAATAACAAGTAGTTTTAACAAGTTTATCTGTTACTGTTTGTATATTTTATGGCACTGACTTCATAGTTTTTTCAATTAAAAACAATCTCACTGCTTTTCTGGTGATCTGATTTCCCAGTACTGCCTTTGTGTCCTTGGGCAAAACTGTTCACTCATACCATCTACTCTAGTCACAAGTTGTGTTTCAAAAGAAAGTCCAGTAGATATAAATCACCAAAAACAAAGTAACGTGACAATGTGATATGCATAAATATGAACCCACAAATACGACTGAAGGAAGCTAGTTCTTTGAGATGATGAATTCACAGCAACACAGGGAAATCAGATCAATAAACTTCACATAATGCAGAATAGAAACAAAACAAAAACACATGTTAAGCTCAAGACCTCATTTCATTTCACAGTTGATAAAAAACAGACAAAATACCTACTGCAAACTCAAAATCAAATACAGTAATGCCATAACAGCCACGTTGTAATCCGCATGAGACACTGGTGTTTTAAACATGTAAAATAAAAAACTGTCACTGATCACAAATTTGTAAGTTGTTGTTGGCTGTGCTGAGGTGAATGGTCTGTCTTGTCTCTGTCCAAATCTGTGTTTTACAACGTGCTGCTCTTTGTTTTGTACTAAAGGGTATAAAACCTGTAAATAAATCCATTCAATACAACTTTATGAACAATATAAGACAGACGGTGACAAACTCCAGTATTACAGCTTTTGAAAGCATGAAGCCCTTTGAACACGGACAAACAAAAGCCTTTTTTTACACAAATAGGTGGAATGTAATGGTCATAGACACCATTTTGATCATGTGTTGTATTGCAAAGTAAATGGAAACATTGAGAGGGTGGGTGGGGAGTATGATTCATTATTGTCCTGTGTGAAAGTTAGCCGCATGCTTTTTAACCATGAAATGAACAATGTCTCATCTTTGGTCCTAAACAAATGTGATCGTATTTATTTTTATAAGTGATGAGAGTTTGCAAGAGAAAAATAATCATTCCTGTCCTGATTTGAGTGTCATAATTTATTGTGCGTTTTTACCACTAACCACTTTTTCTATTTTAATGTCTTCATGAACAAGAAAAGCACATGAAATTTAAAATGGTTGTCAAAATAAATAAAGCATTCAATTTGGATTTTCTATCTGCAATATCACATTTTATTTACAATTTGTCCACTGCATGTAGCCACTAAAGGTAATAGTTTTCACAATTAATGGGAGCCAAAATAAAAGGGAACACAATAGACCTAAAATATGTCTCTTGTGTCAAACTAGTGATGATGTGGACTGAAAAGAGGAAGAGAAAATGCCTTTTTTGGACATGTTTTGTTTTCGCTGGTCACAGAGTGGACGCAGTGTGTACTGTAAAATACTCCTCATCCGAATGTTGAAACTATTAAATATGTTTTTACATTAACATTTTTTGTCCTGTTACTTTTTTGATTGCTGTTGAGATATTCCAAGTATACATATATAAAGTACATAATATTTTGATACAAGAGAGACATGCCATCTCCAGAAAGTTAGGCAGTGTTTTCACAGTACTTTTTGTAACACTACTTAATTTTCACTACACCTAGAGTCATTTGAGCTGATTTGAAGAGATACTCATGTGGTCTAGTTTCCTTTTTCTTGCAGCAGGTCTAATGTACTCTGAGCTCCAGTGAAGGTCAAAGACTCTGCAGGGACATAAAACACTTGATTAGATTTTTGATTTGCAAAGTAAATCAAATTTAAAGTGACTGATGTTGACAGTGCTGAATGCACATGGACTGCATATGATGTACAACAGTGAGCTACAGTGTAGAAGTATTCACTCAAGAAACTAGGATCTTCAAACAAAGGAGGACTTACTTTGCCATCATAGTTCTATAAATTATAATTTTATCTTATTAGACAATATTCAATGGGCGACCTTCCTTCGCTTGTCCTATAGGGAAGAGGAGACATTGAATTAGATTATGAGTAAGCCCAATAAGGCTTAATATTTTAAGAAGAAAACTCAGTCTATGTGGACAAATCATATAATTTATGTAGATTATGTAAATTTGTATTTAACAGCAAGTTTGCTCTTTTAAAACCTTTATGATAGCTTACATTAAATGTTACAATGTTGTCTCCTCATCACAAACATACCTGGAGGTGTGTTTTGTTTGATCCACTCATTTAACACGCAAACACTGCATATTTAGGCTGAGTTCTTCTCTGAAACAGAAAATACTTCTCTGCTGTGTTTTTAAACTCCATACAACTTCATTTGAATCGTTTGGACAATTTTGGCTCTGGAATTGCCAATCTCTACTGAGCAAAATGTAAGAGGTAGCTGTTAATTTGAAAACTACCATTTTGAGCTTTGGAGATGTAGACAGACTAATAATAAAAGTCAAACATTTGTGAATGAAACCTGACACAGGTATGTTTTTGATGGGTTATTGCTACCTGTGACAGCTCTTTGAAATTAATTAACATGAGGCAGGTTAAAGGCCATATAAAAGGTAACAATAGGTTAATTTGAATGTTAGAATGTTTTGGTGACCTTTTGAATGCTGCTCATTTTTCAGAGTCTTACCAAAGTCAATGCGGATGTGTAAAGGGGAGTTATATAACTTGAGGTATTGCTGAGGCGTCAGCAGATCTTCTCTAGATGTCAGCGTGATCAAAACATCTGGAGCCATGCCTAGATCTTTCAATGCTGATCCACCCTCTGTCTGTAGAACAATTTAACAATAATTTTATATAATAATAATAATAATAATAATAATAATAATAATAATAATAATAATAATAATAATAATAATAATAATAATAATAATAATGATGATGATTTCAACTGATGAAAAGAAGCAGCAATGATAGACTGACCCTTTTAGCTTGTTCTAGCTGTTTTGCTATAGTTTCCACAGATGTCAAGACTTGAAGAACTAGCGTCTCGGTGGGCTCCTTCTCCAGCTCTGTGGTCCCTTTGGCTGAGGCTACATCTGCATTCAGGAGCTTAAAAAATAATAAAAATACCACTAAAACTTTCAGGCAAGGAGAAAGTGCAGATCTACTTAGAAATGCAGGTAGCAAACCAACCTTGTAGCTCCACTGTTGAAACTTCCTGCTGTGAGGATTGTGTGCCATGAATACAATCTTTGGCGCTTCAAGAGATACACTGCAAATAGACAGACACCCCTACAGTTTCAAGGATGTGACTAGCAAAACTTAATGAAATCCAAATTCAGTCCAGTCACAAATTCTCCAAAATAATAATAATGATAATAACAGATGATTTTATTTATATTGCACATTTGAACAACAAATTTCAAAGTGCTACAGTCAGTTTAAAATACAAAATAGTGCAACATTACCAGTCTGATGCCTGTTGTAGCTTTATAAGATCTTCCAAAATAGTGACAAGGACATCTCTGGAAGACTGAAAGAAGGTAGTAAATGTTAAATAATGTAATGACTAAATCATCAATACCACCATATTCTTACTAATTACTCACTTCAATGACATGAATCAGACATGATGGATAAAGTAAGAGAAGCCCAGTCATGTTGTCCCTTGGAAACTGTTTACTCAGTTGAAGACTGAGGTTTTCATAATGGGCTGAAAAACAAATATTTTGAGTGAAAATACAGACACAGCATTTTACAACCCAGTACTAGCTCTCCAGTTTCAGTCATTGAGCTTTGGTGCATGCCTGACCTATAATGTTACTTTGTGGATGACTTCCTATACCACTCTAACGTGACTCTCTGGAATGTCCTTCACAGTTGAGGTGTGAAAGTTATAAACACAAACAACAGAGCCTTTCAACTTCCCAACAGCACAGGCAACATTTCTGCCTTTTCACAATAAGCAAGCCTGTTTAATTCACAGATTTTCATAGATTTGATTTATCCCAAAATGAATAAACTGGTTTAAAAAGGCTGCATTTTTGTAATTCAAGTTTGAACAAACCTGTTAATTCTGTTCTGTCTCTAAGACCATTGGGAAGTCGAGCGATAAGCAACAGCCTTTGCAGCAGGATTTTCTATGGAGAATTAAACACAACATTGAGTTAAAGATACAGAACAGAAGAACTGAAATGCAAATGTTTTAAAATTTTGCCCCAAATGAAGTTAATTGACACTATAGTAGACCCATATCTAATTTTATAGATACATTTACCTCTTCTTCTTCTGCATTCTTATTCTTTGCCATTATTTCACCAAATAAAGTTGTCCTATGTTCTATTTTCTTTTCTATTTTAAAATCATATTCCTTCAAACTCTCCATCTGACCTGACCTCCTTCTTCAAGTTCCCCCTGTGAAATGAAAACTCCTGTCTGCCTCAGTGTTTATAAAGCCAATAACCTAGAAACCTATTGTTCAGGAGATGCTATAAGTCTTTTGAAACTCGCCTCCTAACATGGTGTTTAAGGCAGTAGACAGTAACTAGTGGTAAGTGAGAAGGCAGTATTATGCTGAGTTAACTAATGATTTTAACCACTTTGGATCCTGAGTTTAATTGTTAAATTGTGTTTATTGTGTTTAATTACGCATTAACTTAGACTATGTATTCATTAATATTTTTAGATTCTTAAAATGTTAACTGTTAAATGCTGTTAGCTTTATCTGTGAAAGAGTTTTGTTTACAGACCACACGTTAGCTAGTCGTGGCCGAAAGTTACAAACCTCTCTCATTCTCTCTAAAGACACCTCGAACATTGACCGTGGTCGGTTTTCTTGCTCGTCCTCTAAGTCTGTGTGTTTTAAAGTCAGGCCTTTTCTCCTTTTTGCAGGCATCACCATGTCTGACATGATGATGCTAAAGGTGATAAACATAAACTATATAAACTCTGATGTTTAGGGCTGGGCTGGTTACCACGGCAACAGGCGCAGGCGCTCTAATGACGTCAGAACGACCCGATATCAAGTTGGTGGGAAAAGTGAGTTTTTCTGTTTACAGTTAAACAACAAATACTTGCCAGCTACTGCAATAACCATTACACCACGTATTGTCTTGAATGCATAAAGGTTATACACTATAAATTGACAATTATTGATACTTTTGGCCATAGCTAATGTTACATTGCTCAATCTGATTATATATAATATATGTAGTATAAGATTATGCAATACTGTAAAAGAAAATAAAAGACATCATGTTTATATATCACTGACAATATAAAAAATTACATATACAGTCTATGGTTCAAAGTGTCTCTGACTCGTGGGTATTATCTGTAGTTTCTTTAAGGCAGCAGCAGATGGCACTATTTATCCATTGTTTTTTATGCGCTTTGAACGTGCAAGTTTGTCCCTTTGTAACTATGCAACACTTTTTCAACCTAAAAATGAAATCTGACATACATTAGATCATTATGATCTTACGAACGGGATTTGGGGGGTTTCTTTTATTCATGTAGCAACGAATAAAAGAAATATTTAGTATTTATAGTTGTGGCACCTTTTACGCACGGGACGCACGGCCCTGCGCGCTGCTACGCTGCTCTCGTCCAAGGCGTAAACGGATATTTGTGTTCCAGTGTGGCTGTGCCTTAAAGCCTGAAGCGGAGTCCAGCACAGATCATCATCAGAAGAGACGTTCGGCCCATAAAGCTGCCAGGATGGACTGATACATATTTCTAAACGAGGTGATGCTCAGGTAACGCGTGTTTATTACTCAACATTTGCATCTTTTCCAGCGATTTCTCCGACCACAGGTGGATCGATGTGGCTTCGCGCACCCTGATTTGACAGCTGACCTCAATATCGTGTCATCATTTGCCTGTATTTTATACTATGATATCAAATAATTAAGGCTGACGTGATTTCTTTTTGTATATTTACAAAATGTATAAATCATCATAATTTCGCCATGCATGATGTTATTTAGCACTGTGTCTGTCGGCGAATACCATTCGTTGTGCGATGAGTAAACCATTTTATGTGAGATTAGAACAGTTTCTATTTATAGGCCATCACAATCAGATCAAACAGATATAGAATTTCTGTATAAAAAGAATGACTTGCTGAATGAAATGCTACTGTTTGAAAGGGTGCTCTACTTCTATTCATTTATTACACAAACCAGTATAGAACATAATTACTGAATGCTTTCATTGGAATAATTCATTTGAACGTTGTTCAAGAAACATAGCCTGTGATCCTCTTTATTTTAATATGCCTTGGTTCCTTTGTAAATGTTAATATGTTTTAATGAGTGTCAAACAGCAGCGTACATGTATGTAGCCTATATAATGTAACCAATTATTTGCCCAATTCTTTCCACAAATCTAGTTTAATTATACATTTGTTTACTATTTACCGTCCTTCCTTCATTCACAGAACAGTTCTAACAGGAGGATGGTGATTAAGAGCTCAGAAAACCATCTAATGTATTCAGTGTGAATGTTCAAAAGGATTAACAGGTAGACTAAGACTAAGCGCTATCCTTTTTATAACTTGGCTTACATTCCTGAACCTGTTCTTTAATGTGGCTGCTGTAGTGGCTAAGAGTGAAACCTGCTGTTTGCATGTGCCACTAAAAGCAGTTGGATCAAATACAGAGGAGTGTCCTTCACATCCTGTACATAGTCCTTGTGCCACTCTGTAACCTATTATCTCAGGACAGGACTGTTGTAATCAATAGATCTTTAAGTCAATAGTATCATTGCGGTGACCACCTATCTCTCTTTTGGTTGTTGTTCACAGCCATTTAGACCCCTGTTCCTCCTCTCACTTACGTAAAAAATGTCCAATTTTTTTATTGATGGCACATGAATTATAAAAAGTGAGATTTACATAGAAAACATGATAATACATATTTTTGTCACAAAGAAATCGTGGCATTTTGGGTGTAGGGTTGTAATATGATTGCACCTATTGCTATTCCAGTCCAAAGATGTTTATTTTGTTTTCTTATGTACTTTTCCAGTCCCTCTATCTCTGTAATGATAAAAAATAATGATGATGCGGTTATTATCTATGAACTGAAATTTGTTAAATATGTCCCTCTATATCCTACCATATTCAAAACTTGTCCCTCTTTCTTCTATTTGAGGTGGTCACCTTAGTTCCAGGCTCCAATATAAAAAGTAACATTCTGTTTAATGGATATTTTTAGGAAGCAGAAGGAAATTATGATTGTACTGTAGATGAGTCACATAAAATGATTTAATCTCTTTGGTTGCAAAATGGGGGGGATTGTTAAAACTTCTTAGTAGTAGGTTGTTCCCACAGGCTAAAAGATTGCTTTGGTAGCATGCTGTTATGATTTGCAGTGCCTGCTTTGAATATTAATTATGCACAAATCAGTGTACACATACAGACAATTAAATTGACTTTTGGCTCTATTTTATGGCATTAGATTCTCCAACTCAACCTTAAAAACGATTGGAATGGATTGCAGTTGGCAAGTTTGAACAAGATTAAATGATTAAGTTTAGACAGGTTAAATGCTGATCCTGAGGCTGTGAAAGTGCTGCTACTGACAGGAACCGATATAGATGAACCCATGTGCATTTGTGTTCAGTTTTGTGGAAAAATATTGCTTCTTTCATAATTATTAAAATACCTTTTTGGTAGGGATGTACAATATTACAATGAAATCAAGGTCACAAGTGATTCATTTAAACCTCTATTAACATTTTCTGAAATGTATAGGATTCTGGTATTAGTGTAGTGTTAATGCTCCTGAATGTGTTTAAAAGTGAACTGACCTCTGATTTGAAAATATATTTTGCTGATTAAATCAAAATAAAGAACTCATTCCCCTTTTTGACACAAGAGTCATATGAGACAGTGTCTAATTTACACATTTGCATCTCTTTCCCATAGATATGTTTGCCATGGAGTTGGACATGATACCAAAGTTTTCCTCCAAAGACGAGGAGATTGACTTCTGGAAGGCGTTGTCTCTCAAATACAAGAAAAGGTAAGTAGGAAACTCCCGCTTTAACCCAGTTTATTGTCTGATCAAAGTGATGTGTCAGCCGGGTTGTATGAGTTTTCTTCTTTGTATTTTATTCTCCTTTATGCCATTGGCCGTCATATGATCCAACGGCAGTCTACAGAGCATCTTTGTTTGGGAAAAGCCACTCTCCACACCTTACTTATGTTGCCTATGTTAACAGAGCTTTTCAAGAATCTGGCTCTCACAATTGGAGATATCAAGTTACTTATTCAATGCACAGGGCAGGACAGTTAGCAAACCTCTTTGGAAAACTCCCTGTATTTCCCACATAGCCAAGTCCTATTTCACTTTCATTGTTAAATCTATGTTAGTTCACATCTAATTATTTACTAGATTTTTATATTCTGTGTTACTGATCAGATCATTTCTTGTTAGAGACATGTGAAAGATTGTTTTTATAAATGATCTCCACTCCATTATGTAACAGCGTCAGACAAAGATCTACCTCCAGGCAGCTGGTGGTGTAGGACTTAATAACTTGAATCCATGTATTGTATTCCGCCATGTCATACGCCTCTATAAAAATAGAAAACAGTTTGATCCGGTCTTGAAAGACATGATAGCTCTGCTGCCGCAAATATATAATTATACTGAATCACTGTGGTTTTGCACTGATTAAAATCTGTCTGTAACTGACATATTTCTTATGACCTTTAATTAAATATGTGGTAGAGAGCTAAGCATGTTGCTACTAGAAACTTCACTTCGCTTTGAGGCGTATGAAAGTACTTTTGAGAATAGCACTATGATTAAAGGAAAGGTTATGGAAAACTGTTAAGAAGAAACGTCAAAGGAATGATAAAGGAAAACCATGTACAGTCTATGAGGAAAAAAAATTTCCATAAGCCTTCTTCATATTTCCATTTTATCCTTATAGCTTTCTCCGCTCTGGACTAGCATTAGTTAATAGATTTCCTGGCTTTGGTCCAATTCCTCTGCACTTTAAGTTCACATGTTGAAGGTTATTGAACCACTATTTATAGAGCTGTGTCTGTGTCTGTGCTCTTCCTGTACTCACTCTTACATAACAAGCTCTGCCACGGGGCTCAGGTCAGCGATCACATGGCCACTATATGACTAGATGGTAGGAAACATGTTTACATTCAACCCCTGTGGCTTTGATGCAAACAAAAACATTTAAACCTATGTCTTTCATGTACATGTACAAATTTGATTACGTAATACAGGAATATACTGCACAGAAATTATCCTGAGCCAATGATTTCCACCTGACACAAGCCTTCATCAGCTTTTGCCAAACTTATCAGCAAACACCTATTTTTAACATATTACAGCAATTTCCAGAATATTGTTGTTAGAGGTTAAAGGTTAGAC